TTGTAATAACTATTTGTAATAACTGTTATTGTAAATCGTATTGTTGTTTGTATATTAAAACATTTGTGTTAAAAAAGAAAACTGTTTGTATCAGTCTCGTTGGCAAATATCATAAATTGGAGATATATCGGCTTATATTTAAATACTAAATCCAAAGTACAATTTAACTACTAAATTTAACTTATCACTTAGCTCAATTTCAGACCATTTGAAATTCTAATAAGTAACAATTAGTAATAAGTGAAGAGTTGTATTTCTTTTATTTCAATTCATTGTAAACAAATGAGCCTCTAACTCTGACTTCAAAGCTTCTCTCCACCCCCCAGTGACTGAGCGGCAAGTTTTATAATGCTAAAAGTCTGGTTTCGATACCCGTGGCACAGCTTTGCGCTGATCATCAAAACGGTCAATCACTCAAACACCTAGTTGCACATATTTCGATTATTTAATCGGCTTTGTCGGCTACTTTTCACAACATGATGGAGCACCCCCTGGTAAAATATACCATTGGTTTGTTTGGATTTCTCGCAAAGCTACACGAGGGATATCTGCGTCAGCCCGTCCTTAATTTAGCAGTGAAAGACTTGAGCCTAGTAGAGGGAAGGCAGCTAGTCATCACCACCCACTGCCAACTCTTGGGCTACTCTTTTACCAACGAATAGTGGGATGGACCATAACATTATAACGCCCCTACCACTGTCTGGACGGGGAGTCGAGTGCCTTAACCACCTGGGCATGCCGGGCCTAGAATATTCCATAACTTAATGAGACATTCATTGTCTGAAGTATGTGAATAAACGTTTAACAATAACATATGGTCCAGTTTCCGAAGTTATTTCATGAAAATAAATATTAACCCCAATCTACAAAAAAAGAAAAAAGTTTTTACATGCTCTTGAGTAACAATAGCATTATAACTGATACTATGTATTGTAATATCACAAGCAATTCAAGTAAAATAGATTCAAATAAGTGCATAATAAGTCAAAATACATTTATATTGAGATATTTATTTCACTTACCCTCAGTTCTCCAGAATTCTAAATATACTGAACTTTTCACGAACTGTGGATTTAGAGAAATAGGTTCTGAAAATCATAAAAACAAAACTTAGTTTGTTCGAACATGAAATTATCCTGTTTTAAAAGCATTCAGATTGTTTTGCGCATAACAAGAAACACTTTTGACTGGAACTTTCCCGCCGTAAAACCATCCAAAGTTTAAACAAAACACATAAAACATGAATTACTAATACTGATAATACGTTATAACAGACCACAATGTGGTATCCAACAGAACTCATGATCACCTACGTGAAAAGGTTTTATTTAAGTGTTTGATCATTTTCATATTAACGCACTCTATTAATGCTGAATTATTATTAATTATTTTTGACAAAAAATATTTAATTTCGAAAACACCTTCACTGATGCATGCGTTTTCAAGCCCAAAACACGATACAAAACATATTTTGTCTTTATAATTTGCATTACTACGTAAAAAGCCCAATTACCTAAGCCTCGTATGGCACAGATAACTTTGAGAAATGAGTTGGACTTGAATTTAAGTCATGTACCAGAAACTCATGTACCGTAACAAACAAACAAACACCAGTAGCTTGTGGAACAACTTTCGAACGAACACAGAAATCTTTTGTTTTTTCCTTTGCTGTAATTATATTTGTTTCGTGTACTTACACGTACATTTGTATTTTGCATGTCAGGTTTATCGAGAGGAAGATATATATTGAAGTTGAAGGGGTGGAAGGTAAGTGAAAATTCAGTTATAGAACAGAAAATAAAATAATGGAGGGTTTACACATTTTCTGAAGTTTCATGATTTTCATTAACATTTTCAGAACGGACGTAACATATTACTTCTTCTTCTTTTTTCTCTTTATGTTTGATCTATCACTAAATTTATCTTTCACCAGGTGTCGTTTTTGATATTCTGTCTTAGTTGAATAATCAACAACAAAACTTGTTTCATGGAAAATTCAAGTTTTTTTTGTCAGATAATTCTTGATCAAACATTTATATTAATTAATTATGAATATACATAGCTCGTGTCCCTTGACAATAATAGTAACGCAAAAACTTCATAAATCTCACTTTATCGTGTTAATTTTACAAGTAAAGGAACTCGCAGTACTCACGGCATTTATTTCATTGATCTTGGAAGCTGTAAGAAAATTGTTTTCACTTTTGAGTGAACAGACTGTCCCAAGAAATATATACGTTTTTACACTTTTTGTATTTTTCAATATTTTCTCTCATTCTTAATTTTTGTTCAGGTTTCAGAAAAATTAATTGATAACTTTAAAAAATTAAATTGGACACCGAACTCATAAAAATGTAGGTCGCATTTTTGTGGGAAAGGAATGTGAATCCCGATTTTGTTTGTTTGTTTTTAGAGCAAAGCCACGTTGGGGAATACCGCGGGGAATAGAATCCTGGGTTTTAGCGTTGTAAGTCCGTGAACTTACCGCTGTCCTGTCGAGTGACGCGAATACTGAACTTTCGGATCTCCAATTTAGTTAATCACTGGCACGTTCAGCTCTTCAGACGATCAGAATTTGGGAAGAGGGCGGAAGCAAGGAAAAAAAGGTGTGAAACTCGTAATAATGAAAAAAAAAATCAAATGTTTTATAACTCCTCTGAGCTATTCCAGAGAGCCCCAGAAAGTTTCATAGTGATTACAGTTAGGAATTAAGACAGCAAGCAATAAGAGGCAATATTGAAATGACTGTCAAATTCGTAAAAATGCGAAATCGAATGAATTAAGGGGCTTTAGAATCTCTCTGGGGCGTACTCAATAATCACTGAAAATTTCGTGGTGATAAGATGTTGGGAAGTTAGAATTTTTTTCGTTAAAGGTAGACAAAGAGACAGGTACAAATTCCTTTGCCACACACTACAGCCTATAGGAGGCCTAATTCTTAAAACCTGAAAACAAAGCTTAAACTCTGTACTTATTAAAAAATATAATAATGGATCATAGGGTTGTTTAAATCATTCAGATTTCGAAATTCAAAGCTACTAACGCAGAGCCCTTTCATCAAATGAGTAATTTCACAATGTGGATCTGGCATGTCCTTCATTGTTGTCGGATGTTTTTCCTATTATTAAATCATAGGATTGGGTATCCACGGATGACAAAATATTGTCAGATAGAAAGGGTAAGATAAGTAAGTGTGTAGTATAGAGAAGAATTTAATGGTTTTATTAACAGTCAAAAAGGATCTACTTTTGGCATTTGGAACGTCACCAGTTCAATACACAAAATGTTGGTTTTTGT